TGCTGAGCCTCTATAAGACCTGAAGAGGGAACTAAGGAGGGCCCAGCTGGTACCATCCTGAAGGTGCTTTCTGCCCATGATCCTCCCAGCAGACACAGTTTACACTGTCCTTGAAACCAGTCTCTGCCTGCCAGTGGAGATAGGACCCCTCACTACCTTCCAGGTAAGTCAGGTCTAAAGCCTTTTAATCTGCTTTGTACATCCCCAAAAAAGATTGAGAAATGGAAGCATGTCATCCCTGAAGTCCATGGGAAGAGGAAAAGGCAAAATAAAGGGTTTCATGGGACTTGCTTTTGAGGGACCTGTTATTTCAGTGATGAAAGTCACAGGTTGCCTATAGATCAGCCAGTGCCACAGTGGTGATGGAGCATGAAACCTCACTTAATTCCCACTTTGCTGTCCCCACAGCCCAGCTGATGGGGTCCTCACACCAACCACATTCCTGCCATTACACCCGTGGCTTTCCCTGGCCTACAGAAGTTAATCCTCACTAGCTGTATTTTAGAAAAACAACACTTTTCCTCAGCTCGTACTGGAACACTGATGCAACAGCTCAGTGTCTGAACAGGAATGTAATCTGATACGTAAGCAAGTTGTGTGAGCCCTCTGAGAAAGGGAAAAAATAAAAAAGCAAATATACCAGTATCCAAATGTGAGCAGACAGGATTCCTGATTTATGGGCAGCAAGCAGGGTTCAGATTGGATCTGCACTGCCTCAGCAAAGGAATCTGCTTATTGGACTACTTGTTTTTTAATCACACTTCGATGTAGCTTTTGCTGAATCCTAGTTAAAATGCCATGTTGAATAAGGGCAACTCTGTGCCTTATCCTGCCACAGCCCAGCAGGTTAAGGACTGTGCCGTGGTTTGTACAACCTGTACTCTGATACTCTAGGAAAATAAACACAACCTAGACAGAGAAAAGAAATATATGAGTGACCCCAAAGTGCTGAGTTCTTTCAGACTCAGGTGTGGACCAGCCAGGCTTTAAATATTATTTCTGTTTAATCATGCAATAGCTATGCAAGACCTCAAGTGGAACAAAACAAAAACAGCTTCTGTGCTTACTAGCAATAATATGGATTTTGTCATAGGAAACTAGTATTTACAGTTCAAGTTATTAGGAATTAATTATTTTCCCTGAATTACTGGCTTAAAAGATTATGAAACAAAGGTATTTCTAAAGGACTGCTTAGTTAATTTCAATAAAGTTAATAAAAAAAATCCCTGTTTTTCAGAGAAGGGTCTATTGCCCTTTTAATATGTACCCAAGGCAGTGCCCATGTTAAGAAGCCAGTGGTATTCCAACTGAGTATCCCACCACAAGGAAACCGATGGCAATGGACAGCCCACACAGGTCACTCCCTAGCACCACACCAAATGGGCAGATGTTCAGCAATTTCCCACACAACACTCGATCAAAGCAGAGCCTCATCCATAGCATCACCTTTGTCTCTCATTGGCACAGTTTGTGTAGCAAAGATCATACATTCCTCCCAGAATAAGTTGGAGGGACTGTCCACAAAAAGCATCCCAGCACTTTGGTGGAACATCAAAGCACATAGAGCTTTCCAGATTACAATCAAGGTCCTGAAAAGCACCAAGAAGCCTTGTGGGAAGTCACCGCAATTCACAGAACTTGCACACATGTAACATGCTCACACTAATTGCCTTGTTAAATGGGAGGGCTACCAGATAGCTAATGAGGAGCCTTTGAGGACTGGGTGTTTGTATTTCTAAATTGAGGAGGAGACAAGGGTGGGGAATAACGTGGAGAATACCGTATCAGACCACTTATTCATGGCATAAGCAGATGAGTCCTCATCATTTTAGGGGAAATGAGAGAGACTTGGGATTCTAATGTATCCCACCACCATGAGTTTATTCAACAATAAAAGCACATAATCCACAATAGATGGAAAAGGCAGCCTGCCTCCTTCAGTTCAGCTCACTTCTCTCTGCCCTACCAGCACTGCATCTTCCCTCTCTTGATGAAGTCTCAGCTGGTGCTTTGAACTGCTGCTGTAAGTTTGCAGTGAAGGCAGAAAATGCCACACAGCTTTGTTTCCTGTCAGGCTTATTTAAAGCTCATCTGAAGTTTTCACCTCCTGGATCTCTAAATGCTGCTGCTGCTTCATAACAAGGCAGAGAAGTCTATTAATCAAAGCCAGCAGAACATTTTCTACAGGAGGCATTTATGTGAAGGAGAGCAGCATATGAGGTTACACTTAGTTAGGAAGAAAATTACAAGGGGATCTCAGTTCTCGTGCTTCAGGGCATAAGCTGATCACCAGATGGGGTCAGGAAGAATTTCACCCTCTTTCGTTCCTAGATATAGTGTTGCACAATAGGTAAACTATGGAGGCACAAGGAAGAAGGAAAAAAGCTGCTTATAGCCTGGATTTCCCCACTGCTTTCTCAGGAACTGTGTCCACAAACACAGCCAGACAGGAGATTGTAGGTTAGAAAAAACATTGTACTGGGCTTTAGTTTGGCAGTTCTTAGCCAGAAAATGATACGCACAAGAGCCCTGACTATATGTGTCCAATGAACAAAACACTAAGTCTGGCCAAAAAAACCTCCTCTGGGAAGCTAGTGGGCAGCAGGTACCATGTAATGGGTACAATAGACATATTTAACAAATTATAAACATTTTACACTAGTTACAACTAGATTCCTAGATCAGGGAGAACTTTTCCACAGCTCATGGGAACAATTTTTTTGTTGCAATTCCCTGAGTGCTTTGGGTTCAAATTAACTCACATCTCTTTCTTACTGCAAATTAATAAACTGGTTGAACTTAAAAAAGAAGGAAAAGAAAGAAGAAGAAGAAAGCCACAACACTTTGTTAAAACCGCTAAGTTTCAGCTGGTATCATGTCAAAACCACTTGAAACATGAAACTTGAAATCTTCCTAGGTTGACTCAAAGACTATGTCTACACAGGGAGTGCTGTACCAGGAAAGGAATATTGGTATAAACATCAGCAAAGGACTAGTGGTGTAGATGCAACTATAGCAGCAGTACTAAGTATTAAATCAGTCTAGGAAATTGAGCCAAGAGTTTTGTTGACAGACTTGCATCTAGGTGAAGTTCTCCAACAGTTCTAGCAATTGGTATGGGGTAACACCTCTTCACATCCTGCATAGACACAATTACATCAGCACAAATTTTGATTCTACAAATATCCCCAATTAGGTAGAGGTTGTTTTAAAAGTATCTTGAAAACTTTAACAAGCTCTGAATTCAGAAAAATGGCAAAACAGGTTTATTTTTTTGGCTCCACTGTTTTGTTGCCAATTTCTGGTATAGCTGCAGTTAAACATCTTATTTGTCTTCTAATCTGTGACACACGGTGCTTTATGATTTCTCTCAGCACAATGAAATCTGTGTCTCAGCATGCAATCATAAATGTTGCATACAACCCTCATAAGCAACCTTTGGAGATTTCTCCATAACCCAGTTCATTTATTGTAATCATGGTCAGCACAGATTCTGGAAGGAAACCTCCATATGAGAAGATTGTATTATCATTCCAATAGAAACACCATTAAATTCTGTCTGCTTCCCTCAACAGAAATGCAAAATAACAAGGCTGAATAAAAATGTTCATTCTATTATACACTAATACGTACTACTGCAGCACAGAGAAGGCAGAGCAATGTGGCAGTTAGAATGTCACCAGATTCCTACTCAATTTATCTGGATTGACTATTTTAGATTTATGGCAAAAAGATATTCAAAAGAAATAGAAGACATTTTCAGCTTCAAGTGCTATAGAAAATTCCACTTCCCACCTAGCTTTGCTTAGAGCACATCTCTCACTCTGTAACAGCCTCTTTGACTGCAGTTGAGACACAAATATCCATAAGCAATTACTACCATTGCCTGTGCAAGTCAAACCTATGGTTCTGTCTCTTACCTGTAATCTGACTCTGTCCTTGTGGATTAAAAGGACTTGGTGCAGAGTTCAGAGAGGGCCGTGGGCTCTGGGTCGGGACCCCTACTCTCATACTGGGATGAGGAATGCGCCCTAAATCACTGAGACGTTCAGAGAACAAACTAGGTTTAGAGTCATCAAGCTTCTGTCTGTGCCCTGGAAACAGCAAATCATAAAATAAAAGTGTTAATAACAAGATTTAGTAATTTAACACACCCCAAAAAGCCCCCAAAATGGCCACTAAGGACCTGCTATTAGATTTAACGGATTTACAGGTATCTCCGCTACCCCGACAACACAGAAACATTGGTGGGGGACTGTATTTCGGGCATGGCTGTGCTGGTGAAAGCCTTATCAAGCACAACTGGGCCCATACACATGGAACATGTTGCAGTTTGGATCAAAATAAGCACTTATCAGGACAGCCACACAAGGTCTTTTTTGCCTTTTGTTTTATTTTTTGCTGCTTTAACTATATGAGGTAGTTAAAGGAGCAAACTTTCTTTTCCAAAAGCAAGCCTCATATGTAAGTGCAAGTTATCAAGTGGGGCAATGATTCCATACATAGTTTATAAGTTATAGATTTCTGCTAAGAAAATGTAAGGTTTTCTTCTCCTCTTATTTTGTTTTTTTCTTCACTTTAACTCTGCCACAGTTAGTCATTAGCTTTCATTCCTCTCAGAGATTTTTCAAAAAGTAAATAGTCCCTGTCAGTTGAGAAGAACAGTATCCAAGAAAAACCTTCAAAGCTGCTGGCCAAGGCTGGGTCCTTTACTCCCTTGCATGGTCAGCCTTCCTCAGTGCTCCTACTCCTCTCCTCAGAAACCAGCCAACTGTCCTTGGCTGTATTTGGAACACTCATTTAGGGGTGTTTGATTGTCAAAATGTAAAGGGGGGGAAAATGGCAAAAGACCAAGATGCCCCCAGTGGTATTGCTCATGTCACTGAGATGTTTCAGAGAAAAGGCTTTATTTCTCTAATTGTTGCATTTTTGCTGCTAGGTTTAATTTTTTTTCAAAAGGATGCTCCTTGCCCAATGGCACCTTTGGCTGAGAGGTGCAGAAGGTGCTATTTCTATAATTCAGAACATGGTGAAACAGGCATGTATAGAGATTAAGGACAGGACTAATTTTACTTAACTTCAGCCATTCATAAATCAGGCATCTAGTCTAAACTCTTCTAATGTAGACTTCCTCTTTGGTTAATGGAAAGAAATAGCTACTTCCAGAGGGCAATTTATCTCATTTGTCTCTGACACACATCTTAAAATGGCATGATTCACCTTCTGAATTTGCTTTCTCTTTCTTCTCTGATCAGAGAGGGGGTACACATGACTGGTTTAATTAGACACCCTTGCCATTAGTCAACATTAAATGGAATGAAGCTTACCCTAAGTTGCCAAGCAAAGTCACATAAAAAGCCTCTGGCAGAACCGAAAGTGGCGCCAGACCCCTTGAGTGCAACCCAGAACCACATCTGCCTTCATCCCTGTAAGCAGTGCCGGGTCACCAGCACAAGCAATAACTGGGTGCGAGATTTTAATGCTTTTAACAATAAGAAGGGTTGCTGGTAGGGACTTGAACCCTTCAGGATGATCCCCAGTGGCTTGAGATAACCTGTGTTGTCCCGCACCAGTGTGAACACAGCCATCTGCCTGGTGGCTATGAGTCAAGCTTTGCAGACATGGGCAGATTGTGCCATCAGCCTTTGGGCCAGAGAACCAATTCTGGCACTGGTTAATTTATTTTAGAAGCAGAAATGAGGCTACTCAGATTGAACTATCAAACTATCACTGTTTTAAAAAATGCCTTGTAATGGTACGTCTCACCCACAGTACTGAGTACATGGGTTCACATCATCTAACTGAGACCATGGTGCATGCATGACATACAGGCACAGCAAGATCCAAACTAGATTCAGATAAATCATAATTCTAGATAGAGAAGGATCCAGGTTGGGAGATGAGAAGGAACTTGATAGAACATTACTTTGGAGAAACTGCTCTAGCAATTTAAACAAAATTAATTGGTTTACCCATTATTTGATACTTTGAAGTATGATTTCTCTCCCCCAAGATGATTCAGTCTAAAAGCACATGGTAGATGGGAGCCTTCTCCATAAGGAGAAGGTGCTGCTCCATGTTAGAGTTGATATGGGTGCCTACTTCTCTCTTCAGGGGCATCAGTCACTCTCAATGGGCAACAATTTTTGGTGGGCTTGTAAAACCTCTGTAATGGCAGATTATTAACAGCATAATGTCTAACTTGTAGTCTTTAGCATTATATTCTCAATCTATTTAAATTACAACTTGTACAAGTTGCTAAATCTGAAGAAAGGACTTTCACATACACATGTAGTCAGTATTCTCTTGGGATTTCTCCATCTTCATTTCCTTCAAAATTTTAATGCATTTAATTTTCCTTTTGCCAGTCATATTTTCCAGTCTGTTTTTTGAAGGTATCTCCTACCTCTCTTTTTTTCCCCCTGCTCATTCCTAATCACGATTTGGCAAACTGAACAACCTGGTCTAGTGGAAGGTATTCCTAGACATGGCACAGGGGGTGGAACGAGATGGTCTTGAAGGTCTCTTCCCATTCTGTGATTCTATGATATTCAATAGGGCTCAAAATAAGGCAAACATGATCAGCCCATCTCTGGTCTCACACACTGGTATGACTTAAGATGGGAATGAATCCAGGCCCAAAGTGAGTTTTATTTTGAACTTTTGTAGTAATCCTGTGCTATGCTCATACAGTGCCCTTTTTACTAAGGAATAACTAACAAATCAGTGCACAAG